AGGGCCCGTGAAACCCAGACGGATCCGAAGGAGTAGGACGGGGAGAAGAAGGAGAAGAAGGTGAAGGGGGATACCATATGTGTGTGTGTGTATACTCATACATCCATATCTACCTACATACATACATGCATACATACATGCATGCATGCATGCACACATACATACACATCCATACATACATCAACACATCCATACATCCATCCATCCATCCATCCATCCATCCATCCATCCATACATACATGCATACACACATGCACACATACATACATACACGCATTACAAACATACAATACGTACGTACATACATACATACATGCGCATATGCATGCATACATACATACATACATGCATGCATACATACATGCATACATGAATGCATGCATGCATACATGCAAACATGAATGCATACATACATGCCTACATGCAGACATGCCTACATGTATAATTGCATGCGTGAATGCATGCATGGTTACATACATACATGCATGATGCATGCATACATGCATGCATGCATAGATGCACACATGCATACATGCATACATGCATACACACATACATACATACATGCATACCTGCATACCTACATACCTGCATACATGCATGCATGCATGCATGCATACACATACACATGCACATGCACATGCACATACACGTACACATACGCATACGCATACACATACACACAATTACGCGTACACACATACACATACACGTACACATACACATACACATACACAAACACATGCACATACCCATACGCATATATGTACACCTACACCTACATCGACACCGACATCGACACCGGCACCTACACCTACACCTACACATACATATGCACATGCACATGCATATACACATCTCTTTCCCCCAAGGCCAGACGGAATCGGGCAACAGCCTAGAGTACTCAAGGCTGTCGCACCCGTTCTCATTATGTTTAATCTGTGACTGAATTCACTGCATGTCGAATCAACTTACAAGCTCGAGCGACACTGCCGAGGACATGGGCCAGAGCGACCTCTGAGCCTTGGACGAGGTAACTTAAACTGAAACTGCAGACCCTCAACCTTTTGGCGAGTGGTGGGGACGGTGGGCGGAAAGACTTGAACGAGAAACGGTTGCGGCCGAGAGGGACAGAGAACAACGTTCAGAGAACTGTAGCATCTCTCTCCCCCAAGGCCTGACGGAATCGGGCAACAGCCTAGAGTATTACAGGCTGTCGCATACGTTCTCATTATTTTCAATCTGTGACTGACTTCACTGCATACCGAATCAACTTACAAGCTCGAGCGACACTGCCGAGGACATGGGCCAGAATGACCTCTGAGCCTCGGACGAGGTAACTTAAACTGAAACTGCAGACCCCTAACCCATACTGTGCTCTGGAGCCGCCTGAGGTGAAACCTACCCACAAAGACGATTTAGATGGACAGATTGAAGGCCTCCCACGGACCCCGAGAGCCAAATCGCAATCGCGGCAGCCAATTTCTTGGGGTAAGACGCCGCGAGAGAGGTTAAATTAATACTGGTACCTGGGGCCTTGCCTCTCAAGATCATGTGTGGCTTGAGGCTGAAACTACAACACCCGTGGCCAGTGCACAAAACGTGCTCGTGACGAAGGGAAGGAACGTGCCATCCGACGAAACGTGTCCGTTTGCGCCAGCGCGCGCCGAAAGCACACTGGTCAACAACAAGCTGTCTACAGGATCGGTGGCCCATCAAGGCCGTCATGCGCACTTCACGCCACGCCTTAGATGCATGCGGGTTCTCAAGCAGGATTGGAACGCGGCACTTTATACAAGCCCTAACAATCCTACAAGTTACCCTCAAGGTCTCACTCCCGAGTCGAAGCCTGGCCGCTTCTGCGGGCGTGGGGTCAGGAATCCCGTGAGGGCACCAAGATTTACGAATCTGTTTGGATAGCACTGGCGTCCAACTACTACATGGGAACGCTGCAAACACTGCGTTGACGTTGTTAGAATGAATGCAACCCAGGATTACATTGACCACCACAGGATTGGTCAAGTCATATTCACCACCATTGAGAGAGTCGAAACTAATGCATTGTTGCTGTCTGGCCTCAAGATGCTTGCCTACTGCACCCGTGCCAGAGAACAAATCAAGAAACACACGATTGTCATGACTGTGAGCTGATGTTTGTTGAAACAGTCTCCGGAGTCTCGCTCAAATTTTGTGAGCGGGCAAGTTGTCTTTCCATCCCACGTTGTGATCACCCTGTCCACCGTGCAATGGCCGTCGCGGCGTACACGCCGAGCTCACTGGGGGGCAGGCGTCAGCCGCCTGCTGCGCAAGTCGGGCGGCACTGGCACCCACGCCTGGAGCGACAGAGAGGCCCTCAACTGGCGCTCCTCTGCCATGCCGTAGTCGCAGGCCCTCTCAAGAAGCCCCACGTACGACTTGGGGATCCAGGCGTGGTCTCTGCAGCGCTTCACGAAGGTGTCCGCTGCCAGGCGACCGCGTTGCCTGATGGCCTCCATGCTGCGAGTCTGGCGGGTGACGTCGTCGCCGCTGTCGCCGTGCCTCATCATGCACTGGCGGAGGATAGGCTGGCCTGGCCCTGCGAACTCGGCAGCCCTCTTGAAAAGGCTCGAAAATTCCCGATAGTCGAAGGACCACACGCTCTCGTGGCCAAAGCGAATCTTCAAGATGGAGAACTGCGGGCACAGGATCACCAGCTCGAGGCTGTCGAGCAGGCAGCACTGATCGAACTCTTTGATATTCGTGGCTTGCCTCTCCTCGAAGGCCAACCACCGCGCCCAGTACCTCATGCTTGAGCCGGGCACCAGCGGTATGAGCGTGTTGACCTTCAGCCTCAAGCCCTGGCTCGGTCTCAGGTACATGCACAGCCAGAACATCAGGCACTGGTCGAACTCCAGCTCGCCCATGTAGAGGGCTGCCATCACCAGCTCGCACTGACCTATCCAAAGAGGCAGCGCCCTGCTGAGACCTGGAGCCAAGCGTCTGGAGCCCTTCAGCACTATCTTGGCCCGCACCAGCCCTCCGCCGTGGCAGATCCCAAACACATTGTGCTCGAGGGCTGCCATGACCTTCTCGCCCGAGTCGTGGTAGTCCCGAAAGTACCTGTTGTACATCATCGCAGAAGGACGTGTCGCTCTGTTCACCTCCAAGAAGCAATGGCCGAAGTTCCGTGCGAGGTGGGCTTCGCTCTGATGAGCAGGCTGATGACGCCTTGCTTTCTGCCTGCGTTGATGCTCCGCTGGCTGCTGGCTGACCTCTGCCACAGGTCCTGGGGCTGGCAATGGCACGCTCCTCCGGGCACTGCTGCTCGGAGTCTGAGTCCTCGGAGTCGGAGTCCTCGTAGAACTCGCCCTTGCCCCAGCTCTGCCAATCGCCAGGTGATCCCAACTGGCGAGACCCGATGCCTGGATGCCAGTCCGCGTCGTCGAACTCGAGTGGGGCGCCCGAACCGGCACCGGCCCTGGCGAGCTCGTCGACAGCCGTCTGGAGGGCGGCACTCGCCCCCCCCCCTCTTTCGGGTTGCCCAAGGGGGACGAGCATCCCGCCAGCCGCCTCCGCCCTGAACTGGCGGTCCCGACTTGAAACGTGAAGCGGCGTCGGCAGGATTGAACTCTGAAGGCACCCACCTAGACGCGAAGTCCGAATCCGAAGCCATGGACAGAGCGGCCAGTTGGCGACAATGTCGGTTGATGGTAGCATTGCTGGCTCGCCCCCTCCCCTGCGCCAGAACAAAGCCGAGATTGTCCCCCAAGAAGAAGTGACGATGCGAGAACTGGCGCACTGATCGGAGACGGTTCCTGGCAGCAATAACTGTGGCGCGACCCTCCGAGGAGGTGATGTTCTCGGCGACGCGCCAGCGCCCTCGCACCTTCAGGCCCCACGGGTTGAAGTCTCCTATGCTGTCTCGATCCACATCGAGCAACTCCAAAGGTACCTCGTCGGGCGGCGCGTCGGCTGGTAAGCTGGAGCCCAGTGGAGGCTTCTCGGCGCCATCTAGAGCTCGCTGGCGGGCGTGCACGGCATCCTCGACAAAGAACCGCCAGCGCTCGCTCTGGCGGCCCCGAGCTCTCACTTTGTCAACTGTGAAGTGCTTAGCCACTATGCCGAACCCCCCGTTGTCTGCAGCGCTGGCCCCCTCTGAGCCGGACGCTGACACCAACTGGCACCAAGGCCTCTTGCTGTCGGCATAAGCAAGCGGCAGCAGCACCATCATCCAGCGAAGCTCCTTTACCACGGCGGGGCAAAGCCCGATGCGACTGTCCCCAGCGATGTCTACGAAGCGGTAGATGGCGTGCGGGATGCTCAGCAAGCACCTCCTCAGGATGGCGGACCAAGCGAAATGGCCCACAATGCGGTGTAGCAGCTTGCCAGATGCATACCCCTCCTGCAGGAGGGCTGCGATAGCGAGCCGCACCTTCCAGCAGCGACGATGGCCGACCGAGATCCTTCCAGTAGCGCGGTCCAGCGTCATACCTGTGAATTGCGTCTCAGGCAGTCCGTGCTCGAGCTCCTTACACTGCAGTCCAGCAGCAGCCAGACGTAGATGGCAGTGCCGAAATTGCCGTCGGTGATGTGAGGGGCCTGCTTCTTGTCGAGCAGAAAAGCCTCTGGGGGCACTCCTGCTCTGAGCGCGCTGGCAGGCACCATGGCCTGGCAAAAGTAGAGCGCCCAAGACCAGCCCATCGCCATGACCTCCAGGTGCGGAGTGACATAGCATGACGATGGCAGGTCGAGCCTGCTGGCCAGCTTGGGATTGGCGCGGCGAAAGTGCTTAGCAGACACGCGAGGTAGGGCAAAATACTCGGCGACTCCAGGAGGGGCCTTGCGTCGATAGAAAGCGTTGTCGACGTCCATCTGGGACAGGATCAAGTCATCCGACAGCCCGATCTCCACTGACGCCCATGATGCGGGTGTGGGGAGCCTCGAATGCGCGGGCTCCTCGAACAGATCGTTGACCGCCCTGGTGTCCAGTATCATCCGCAGCCGCCCGTCCTTCTTTGCGACGAAGAAGATGCCGACCGCGGCAGGGGCGTGCCGACGGACGCTGACCAAGTTGGCCTGGAGCATCTGCATGACTGATGAAATCGCTGTAGCGGACCTGGTCCTTCACGAGAGCCGGACCACTGTACGGTTGAATGTTGGTAGCAGCAAGCGTAGAGCCAGAAGAAGCCTCTCTCCGCAAGCTAGTCGAAATAGACCTCCAGCGTTGTAAAGCCAAGCCAGACAGCACACGCTCGCCGTCCGCGAGGCCGCCCCAGGAGGGCAACGAGACAAGGTCAGGCTGGAAGCTGCGTCGAGGGTCGCTGTCAGCGTACCCAGGACGACTGCCGCCAAGCTCGCTCAGGGCTTGCGCGGCTGTGCATGGTGGCGGCGGCGTGGCCCTGTAGATGTCCGAAATGATCTCGACACTACGGCGCTGAGCAAGAGACTCACCCAGGCCTGGCCTGGCGGAGGATGAATTGTGCAACCGAACATCTCGTTGAGGCACTCCACTGCCGAAATTGCCCAAGCCTGCCATTGCCGACGAACGTGCACGCGACGGCGCGCTGCGCGGCACCCAGAGGCTGGATAACAAAATTGACCTTCTTGAGGGAAAGGCGGGGCCATCGGTAGTAGCTCACGACCTATGGGCATCCCTGTCGGCGACTGGGCGGGAAGGCCAGTCGCCTGGGTGCTCATGACGTCCTAGCCCCCGCACTGGCAGACGCCTCAGCCTCTCTCAGGGCTTTGGCACATGCCTTGGCGGCGGCTCGCTTGGCCTTGGACCCCCCCTCGGCCCCGTCGGGGTATTGCAACAAGTCTACCACAGCGTCACCGGATCCCTGATGATAGCCAGCGTGCGCAGCCTGCCCAGCCTGAAGGCTCCTCTCCTCGCTGAGCTCCCGCAACTCCGTAGCGACGGTGCTCTCGATGAGCGGCCCCGAGGCAACGTGCTCCTCAAGGAAGGGGCAGGGCATCATAAGACCGCGCGTCTCGCCGACCCCCGAGCACCAGGACTCTTCAGCCAACAGGGTGCCAGCATGGCTGTCCGTCTCCAGCGGACGGTGCTTGCAGCGGTACTCGACCAGCTGCGGATGTCTGAGCAGCAGGCCCACGAACGACAGCTCCATGGCGCCGACTTGGTCATATGTCAGAGCGTACTCCGCAGCCCTCATGGCTGTCTTGAGGTCCGACACGCCTGGATCTGCAACCAAAAAATCACCTGGCGACTTCCACCCCGCGGGCCGAACTCTTGGATGACCAGCGGCCAGGAGAATGAGCTGTAAGCACCACCTGGTAGTCAACGGCCCCGTGAGCCGCCACAAGTCCCAGACCGTCTCCGAGACTAGATCCACCGCGAACTTGAACTCCTTGGAGCATTGGCCTAGCCGAGGCCTGGTGACTCCCAGGATGCTCGCAACTAGCTCCAGCTCTGCGATGTCGTATCCAGCCGTGTCCGCCGAGAGGTTCCGATCTATGATCAGCTCGAGCTGTTCACACTGCTTCAGCACCCCGAACTGCGGGTCAAGGACCACAGCCTGATCTATACGAGAGTCGATAGGCACGATGCTAGGCCCACTGACGTCCCACCAACGATGATCATATGCTGGCAGGCGGCATCGCCCACGCATGGCAGGCAGAGCCCCCATCACCTTCAGCGGGCGACTCTTGTCGACTGGCAAGCTGGAGGGCGTCAAGGGCGGCACGTCAATGACCTCGAATGTCTGGTCCCCAGTCAATGCACAGCCTCCCTCCGTGGCCCGCCCCAGCCTATCGTCGCAGTCGTCGGTGTCCACGTCCAGAAGTGGCCTCGATCGATCCTGATTCTGAGCCCGACCCACTGCTCGAGCCCCCTCGTGCTGGGCGTGTCTAAACTCCTGTCCCCGCGAGGACAGCCACCCCCAGTGTGACTGCAAGCTCAGGCACTGGTCGAGGATCGGGGCCCCCTTGTGGTCGCACGGCGCGGCGCCGAGCAACAATCGCACTCTCAGCTTCTCCGGGTATACGTTTCCTGTCGGAGTCATCTCCCACGTGATCGCCGTTCCTGGCTCGTCGAAGGTCGCACCCATCACGCAAGACTTGACGGGCGCGATGCAACACATGAACAACAGCAAATGGTGCCACACGCTGCGGTCTGTGCCGTGACGAACGGCCCCTCGTCGCCTGGGCGCATATATCTGTATATATATATATATATCCAGAAGATCCAGCGAGGCGCCACCATGCAACATATCCGAACGTCACACCAACTGCCAGTCCAAACACGAACGTACAGATACCGTAGCTGAGCATCAACCCAGGTTACTGTTCTGCACTGCACACGAGAACCGACGAGGCCATGGGCGGGATGGAAGGCGTGGTCAACTTGGTGGCCCCCAAAAGCCAACTTAGACTGTCAAGGTCGGTCGCCTCAGGCGTCGCCGCCCTCAAAAAGACTTGAGCGAGAAACGGTTGCGGCCGAGAGGGACAGAAAAACGTTCAGAGAACTGTAGCATACACATACACATACATATACATGCATGCATGCACTCATACCTACTGCGAATCTGAAAGCGCAGAGAGCGCTTTCAAGTGCTATGTGTGCTTAGCTAATAACCCGAGACCCCTTTTCCTTAACCGTTTGGGTTCAAAGGGAAGGGGGTCCGTCGACCCCCTTCCAGGAGTACACCTTGTCATGTACTGAAAAGGTGTTTGCTATCTTTACCTCTCGTTCAGAGTATTTCAGATTGTTTCAGGTATCTTGGCGACCTACGATGCCTTGGGAACCATCCACATGTGGTAAGCGGAGCAACGGCTACGACGGCAATCGCGATGATATTACGTGGGAACGTGTCGAAGACGGACCCCAGGAGAATGATGAGGGCGATGGGGAGAAGCTGAGATGGGCACAGTCAAGAACGAGAGGGCAGCGAAGCGGACAGCACGACAGCATGAAGGGAGACACCTGGGACCCCTGGAAGACGTGGAACGACAGCTCAGTATCCTGGGATCGAACGTGGAGTCAGATGTCCAACTGGGGTGCTTGGAGGTGGCCAAACGAGGACGACGACTCGGGGGGTTCGGCAGGCAAGTACGAGTTGAACGGCAAGGACTGCTTAGGCGGCTCCGAGACGGACTCAGAGAGGTCAGTGCAGTCGAGAGGGTTCGGCACACCAGAGCAGGTGAAGAAGATGATGGCAGAGGTGCACGGAAGACTCGAGTCGGGCAGGGAGTACGAGCAACACGACCAGCGACGTGGAGGCCGTAAAGGAAAGTACCCACCTTGCCCGACCTGGGATGGAAAGGACCTCAGCGAGTGGCCAGAGAAGAGGCTGGCCATAGACAGATGGAGCAGATTGACGGCAGTGCCACCTGAGGAACAAGGCGAGACCCTGCTGCTGCACTTGACCAAGGAGGCGGCGACTGCGACACGGCACCTACGACCAGGTTCGGTGCAGTACGCAGGCGGTCTACAAGCAGTCATTTTGGCAACGGACACGCTGGCGTTCCCAGAGGCAGACGCGGAGACCTTCCAGCAGCTGGAAAAGACTCTCTTCGCGACCCCTAGGGCGAGAGAAGAGACGCTGATGAAGTTCACCAATCGAGTACGAGCAGAACAGAAAGAGTTAGAACGGCTACCCCCCAACGCACTGAGCGACACGGTCATGGGTTTCTTGCTATTGAGAGGAGCGGGTCTGGCCAAGACGGAAAGGGACCAGGTTCTCATCCAGACGGGCTACGACTACAACGTCAACAAGCTGGTCTCGATTCTGAAGCGGATGACGGACGACAGCACGGTCACCGAGAAGAGCACACCGACAAAAGGGGCATACTTGGCGGGAGTTGACGAGGACGAGCCCCTGATGTCCGAGGATGGTGGAGCCGAGAGTGCTGTGTGCGACGCGATGGCCAACCTGCTCGGGATCGACGACGATGGAACACCCGACGCACAAGAACCAGTTGACGATGGAGAACGGATCCTCACGGAGGTCGAGGCGCTCGACTGCCTCGCGGCCATCGTCCCACCACCGACGAAGCCGCGGACGTGGGGCGAGGCTCGGAGGATTGTGGCGGACACGAAGACCAATCGGGGGTTTCGCAACCTGCAGGACGGCAAGAAGCTCAACGACAAGATAGAGGACATCAAGAAGCGCACGAAGTGCGGCATATGTAAGAAGGTTGGGCACTGTCATTGAGAGTGCCCCGACAATCCGAAACATAAGAACAAGCCGACGGGAGTTTTCATTGCGATGACGGTGCTGCAGGACGACGAGATCTGTAGCTACATAGCGACAGAGGCGAAGATGGCGTCAAGGTCGAACCTAGTAGAGCACATCAACCTGGCGATCGACATCAAGACGTCAGGCAAGCCAGGCTGGGGAGCACTCGACACGGCCTGTGGTTTCAACATGATGGGGCTGGACACCTACGCGAAGTGGGAGGTACAACACAAGAATGAGCACGGCATCACGCTGCAGACGATCCCGTACCATAAGAAGTACAGGTTCGGCAATGACCAGATCTGCACGGCGACGGACGGGGTGATCATCCCGATCATGCTGGGCGACTTTGTTGGCATCATTTTTGTGTGCTTGGTGCAGGGAGCGGCTCCACGTTTGTTGTCTAAGACATTTGTCGTGGAGCTGAAGGCGTCCCTCCATGCATTTCAGTCGGAGCTGGATCTGCCTGAGCAGAGCCTGCGACTCCCCTTGGCACACGCTGGAGGGGAACACTTTTTGCTGCAACTGGATAACTTCACGAGACCGTGGAGTAAGCCTGAAGGCTGGACACTGTGCACAAAGGAGGTTTCTATGGATTTCAGTTCCAGGACCGAGTATAAACATCCCTCCACCTTCCTCATCTCCGAGGACCTCTTAAACGACAGTGAGGATCAGAAGGAAAGAGGCTGTATGTTTTCAAGCGTTGGAGTTGGAACAACACAACAGGCAGAAAGCAGGAGGACAGCAAAGAACGCCAGTCAAAAAGCAGCACAAATAGCAAGACTACTGCAAGGAGGAGGATTACCAGGAGGAAACATTAAACATAAGGTTCATGTTAACAAGCAGAAAATCGACAGTAGCAAGCACTGGAACAGCATCAACAGCAAGCACGTGAACAACATAAACGCCGTGAGCAGCATCAACAGCAGGTCCGAGAACAGCATAAATGACGAGAACAGCATCAACAACAAGCACCTGAACAACACAAATGACAACATCGTTCAGTTCCGACAGCAGTTAGGCTCGAGCCGAACTCGCAGAACGTCTTTGGATTTACTTCCATATTTCCATGTCATGCGACGAGCGCTCGCAGCACTCGTCTTCTTTCATGCAGCAGAAGGTGTCGCCGCTCAGGGAGCGGCAGTCGGACGCCAACAAGAGCCAGGCCAAGACGACGGCGCCGAAGTTCAAGTGGCCCTGGCACGAGGTCAGCTCGGAGAGCCGACCGCCCACAGGAGTGATGATGTGTCGCCACTACGGTGTGGAGAACCAAGGACCTCGGACCCCAGCTGTGGGCACGAGGGCCAGAGATCACGACCCCAAGAAGGAGCATTCCTGCCTTCACGAGTTCACTCACCACGGCGGGAATGCGAGAGCGTTCTGGAGCCAGTGCAGCGGATGCAGGCTACACGTGGAGTTCTACCCCCAGGGAGCTCCCAACATGAAGGAGATCTGCGAGCAGCTCGAGGAGTACAAAATGCTGGAGGCGGAGATCAAGGGTTGGCAACCTCGAGCACCGAAAGCATGGACCTCGTCGGAAATTCCACAAGAGCCTTCGACACGCAGCAGCGCGCCGAGGGCCAAGATGGGACCGCGATCGGGAGCCAGATCGACCTCGAGGCAGTCGGGGGGTCCACCTGCAGAGCCGGAGGATCAGATCGAGGGTCTGACGGAGACGGCCGAGCAGGAGGAGTGGGAGACGCTGGGCGAGGAAGTGCAGGACCAGTCACCTCGGAGCAAGGCTCTGATCGCCTTGAAGGAGCTGCTGCAGGACGAGAACGCCAACGCAACGACCAACCAGCTGGTGGAGAACCTGCGCGGCCACCTCGGGGCGGACATCAGCGACCAGTAGACGAGCTGACCGAGAAGGAGGAGCGGAAGATCAGCAAGACACTCAAGGTGTTAGGCAAAACGGACAAAATGAGGGAGGCCATGGAGGACGCGATTCCAGAGTGCACTGCTTTCCTCGGCCAGCTAGACGAGCAGGTTCACGATGACGACGATATGATGGAGACTGGCGGGGTTCCCTTGCACGAAACTACAGAGCGGAAGCACGTGATGGTCGTGGCAGGACATCACTTACTAGTGAGGAGCGGGCAGAAAGAGGCGTGGAGCATGATCAAGAGTGCGAGTCCCTTACTCGTGATCATCAAGCCGCCCAAGGACATCTACAACAAGAAGCTCAAGGAGAAGATCGGCAGGGACGCGACGACCTTCATGTCGGACATGGCGATCCAGCAGGCGATTAACGGCAGGTGCTTCTACTACGAGGAGGAGAGCTCTCGAGAATGGGACGACCCACTCATCCAGAAGCTGAGGCGACTTCCCGAGGTCTTCTCGGGGAAAGCTAATGCACGAGGACGGGCCTGTTTGACCAACCTGCCTGGCCAGGCATCAGAGTACGGGAAGATGCTGAGTCAGGAGTTCGTGCAGGGCTCTCTGCAGAGCAAGCTGGGGGACGTGCCGATGCCCCTGCAGGAGCTTACTGAAGCTCTGGCACGAGCTATCGTGAAGGCCAGGATGAGCGAGCTGGCGACCGTCGAGACGAAGATGGACGAAGAAAATTCAAGCTTGCGGTGTGTGTCTTGTCGTACAGCGCCCGTCTCCAACAGCAAGGACGAGAGGAGCACGGATCCTCATGTCAAGCAGCAGGTACAGAAGATACACGAGAACATGGGCCACTGCAGTAACGAGAATATTGTGCTGGTTTTTGAAGTATGGCAAGGCTCGCCAGGCCTTTATCGAGGCCGCGCAGCATCTGGTCTGTCCAAGCTGTGAGGCAAACAAGCGTCCTAGGCTGGCCAAACCGCCCAAGGCTCCCACGACCTACCAGTTCAACGACGTCATCGGCATGGACATCTTCTTCGTTCTAGGTCCCGAGAACACCACCAAGGTGCCGATGCTCAACATCGCGTGTCACGGGACGGGGCGCCGAGTCGTGGCACCGCTACCGAGCAGACAAGGTCAGCAGATCAGACGACATTATCGTGCTTTCTGGAAGCGGATGTACGGCACTCCCAGGATCATCGTGATAGACGGCGAGAAAGGTTTTTCAACAGGCGAGTTTCCAGACGCAGCTGAAGGAGACGGCACCGGGGTGAAGGTGGCGAGCGCTACCTCGCCGTGGCAGGCAGGCAAGACTGAGAGGGCTGGGGGGGGGCCTGGAGGGAGACCTTCTACCGCACCAGGCAGAAGTTCAACACCAAGAACTGAGACGACTTCTACGAGCTGGTCGACTCAGTCAACGTGGCGATTGGAGAAAGTGTGCGACGTGGGGGTTTCACGCCTTATCAGAGAGTTTTGGGAAGACCCTTTCAACTACCAGAAAAAATCTTGGAGGAGGGCTCGCCGAGTTTGGCGACGGTATCTCGAGCCATGAACGGAGACGCCGAGCTTGCCAGGAGCATTGACATGCGCAAGGCAGCCATGGCAGCGTACATCGAGGCGGAGTGCTCCGAGAAGTGGCGACGAGCTCTCAATAGAAGGACTCGACCGCCGAGGGGCACTACTTTTCAGCCTGGAGATCGCTGCTATTTCTGGAGGAGTAGTACGGACAAACTGCCCGTTAGCTCCTGGCATGGCCCAGCAAGAGTCATCCAGACTGAGCTGCCAAGCACGGTGTGGTGCTCGTACCTGGGCGGAATACTGAAATGCTCACCAGAACAGCTTCGACACGCCAACGAGGGGGAGACATCCGCCTGGGAGCAGATCGACCACACGATGAAGGAGGAGGTGAGCACCGAGAACCGCGGAAGGCGCAAGTACGAGGACCTGACCAAGGAGCCCTCACCAACTGAGGACCAGGACGACGTACCTCAGACAGCACCTCCAGAGCCAGCAGGGGATGATCAACCAGCGGCCTCCCTGGAGCCACCGACGGTGGAGATCGAGCACTCATCCGATGTGAGGGCAGATCCCATCCCCATGGACACGCAGTACTACGATCACCTCGACGATGTACCGATCACCATCAAGCAGGCTCTAGTTAACCCTGACGCGGCGATACCGGTGGCACAACGTATCGCGACCATCGAGGAGAAGATTCAGAAGGACCAGCAGGCTCCTCCCAAGAAAAAGAAGGGAAAAGCTCAGGGCGCCACCAGCGCTCTGCTGACTAGTGCAACTCAACGAGGACGCAAGGAAGTCACGGAGAAGTCTCTCGTGAACACCTACAAGTACCAGCCGTGCATCTCAGCCAAACGCAGGGAGTGGGGCAATATACAGAAGGCGGGTGCAGTACGGGTTCTCCCTCCCGAAGAGGCAGAACGAGTTCGACAGGATCCTGCATTGACCACTCGGATCATGGGCTCCAGGTGGGTCCTTACGGACAAGGACGGCGACTCCAACGAGACCGACGCGAGCAAGAAGCCCTTGCTCTTCATGAATGGCAACGACTGGAGGATGGCCAAGGCGCGATGGACCGTCCAGGAACACACCGACCCTGACCTGCTGGAGCTTGAGACCTACAGCCCAGTCGTGGGTAAGGATTCGGTTTTCCTCATCCTGCAGATCTTGTGCACCAATAAGTGGACGCTGCAGCTTGCGGGCATCACGTCGGCCTTCACAGCAGGAGACCCACTGGACAGGTCTCAGGGCAGGCTTTTTGTGGAGCTACCACGGACGGGTATACCAGACGTGGAAACGGGCTCTGTGGTGGAGTTACTCAAGGCAGTATATGGACTCGGAGACGCTCCCGTACAATGGCTGGCATATTTCACAAGTTATGCCAAAGAACTCGGTTTTCAGTGCTCCATCTTTGACGGCTGCGTCTTCTACCTCAGGGGCGAAGAGGGCTTGCGCGGCGTCATGGGCCTCACGGTGGACGACATCGTGGGCGGTGGCGACCAGAAGTTCGACGAGGCCTGCAAGAAGTTGCGTCAGAAATTCCCCTTTGGGGCCTGGCGTCTCAAGAAGGGGAAGTACACAGGCAAGGAGCTCGAACAGAACGACGACAACACGGAGATCACCATCTCTCAGCGCCAGAGCTCCGTCAATATTCAACTTATCGACATCGCCACAGAGAGGCGTAAGACGCCTCAGTCACCAGTGACGCCAGCAGAGCTGCATCAGGCACGGAGCCTGTGCGGCTCCATCTCATTCCTGGCGCGGGAGAGTCGTCCCGACCTCTCTGGTCCTGTCTCTCTCTTGCAGGGAAAAATGCCGAATCTCACCGTGGACGACTTGCTGGAAGCAAATCGTATCGGCCGCATGACCAAGGAGTTTTGCGACGTAACACTCAATGTACGACGCATCCCTTTTCACGAGCTGGCCTTCGCTGCCTTCAATGACGCGGCCTGGGCCAATGCACGGGATGGAGCTTCACAAGCAGGATACATGGTGTTCGCTACGCAGCGTAAGATCTTGAAGGGCGAAGCGGCCACCATCTCCATCCGATCCTGGAAGAGTCACACATTGAAGAGGAAATGTGCTCACCAGTTTGGTGCGGAGACGCTGGCCATATCGGAGGGCATGGCTATGGCGGAGTTCATCAGGACCATGCTGCTGGAGATCGTCGACTCCGAGTTCGATCTGATGCGTCCCTACCTACTCGCTGGTCGTTTTCCCGTCATCAGTGTGACCGACTCCAGAGGCGGTTACGATCACGTTACCAATCCGAAGGCGGGACCGGCGGAGGACAAGAGGGCAGCAATCGACGTGGCCATCGTGCGCTCAGCGATGCAGCGACCTCAAGTTCATCTGCGATGGATCGAAAGTACCAGTCAGCTGACCGACCCGCTCACCAAGCGCAAGGGCGAGAGTACGCTACTTCGACATGCCCTGGAGTTGGGCGAGTACGACATCACTGCGGACAGCATCGTGCTACGCCGACGGGAACAAGAGCGACAGATGAGGAAGAAGAAGGGCGACCCTACCTATGCCTGCTCGGTGGAATGTTGTTCCCAACCATCCTGTGGTGTTGGGTCCTCGTTTTGAAGAGACGTCGCCCCGCGTTCATTCCTCCTCCTTCCTCCTCCTCCCCTTCCTCCCCCCTCCATTCTGGCACACCCCTCACACGCTTCGTGGCCCCATAGGGAGCTCCACCGAAGGCCCCAGTGGCTGCGCCCGCATGCGGTTCCACCCCCCATTATGGCACACCCCTCACACGTTTCGTGGCCCCATAGGGAGCTCCACCGAAGGCCCCAGTGGCTGCGCCCGCATGCGGTTCCACCCCCCATTCTGGCACACCCCTCACACGTTTCGTGGCCCCATAGGGAGCTCCACCGAAGGCCCCAGTGGCTGCGCCCGCATGCGGTTCCACCCCCCATTCTGGCACACCCCTCACACGTTTCGTGGCCCCATAGGGAGCTCCACCGAAGGCCCCAGTGGCTGCGCCCGCATGCGGTTCCACCCCCCATTCTGGCACACCCCTCACACGTTTCGTGGCCCCATAGGGAGCTCCACCGAAGGCCCCAGTGGCTGCGCCCGCATGCGGTTCCACCCCCCATTCTGGCACACCCCTCACACGTTTCGTGGCCCCATAGGGAGCTCCACCGAAGGCCCCAGTGGCTGCGCCCGCATGCGGTTCCACCCCCCATTCTGGCACACCCCTCACACGTTTCGTGGCCCCATAGGGAGCTCCACCGAAGGCCCCAGTGGCTGCGCCCGCATGCGGTTCCACCCCCCATTCTGGCACACCCCTCACACGTTTCGTGGCCCCATAGGGAGCTCCACCGAAGGCCCCAGTGGCTGCGCCCGCATGCGGTTCCACCCCCCATTCTGGCACACCCCTCACACGTTTCGTGGCCCCATAGGGAGCTCCACCGAAGGCCCCAGTGGCTGCGCCCGCATGCGGTTCCACCCCCCATTCTGGCACACCCCTCACACGTTTCGTGGCCCCATAGGGAGCTCCACCGAAGGCCCCAGTGGCTGCGCCCGCATGCGGTTCCACCCCCCATTCTGGCACACCCCTCACACGTTTCGTGGCCCCATAGGGAGCTCCACCGAAGGCCCCAGTGGCTGCGCCCGCATGCGGTTCCACCCCCCATTCTGGCACACCCCTCACACGTTTCGTGGCCCCATAGGGAGCTCCACCGAAGGCCCCAGTGGCTGCGCCCGCATGCGGTTCCACCCCCCATTTCGGCACACCCCTCACACGCTTCGTGGGTGGCTCCATGGGGAGCTCCACCGAACGCCCCAGTGGCTGCGCTCGCATGTGGTTCCCCCCCCATTTCGGCACACCCCTCACACGGTTCGTGGCCCCATAGAGAGCTCCACCGAAGGCCCCAGTGGCTGCGCTCGCATGCGGTTCCACCCCCTTTTTCGGCACGCCCTTCACACGTCTCGTGGCCCCATAGGGAGCTCCACCGAACGCCGCAGTGGCTGCGCTCGCATGCGGTTCCACCCCCCATTTCGGCACACCCCTCACACGTTTCGTGGCTCCATAGGGAGCTCCACCGAAGGCCCCAGTGGCTGCGCTGGCATGCGGTTCCACACCCCATTCTGGCACACCCCTCGCACGTTTCGTGGCCCCATAGGGGGCTCCACCAAAGGTCCCAGTGGCACTGCCCGCTTGCGTCCGCCACCACCCAGCACAGCCCTTGTTCCCTGCGCTTCACCCACCCAGAACAGCGCTTCGTAGCCCTATAGGGAGCTCCACCAAAGGTCCCAGCGGCACCGCCCGCATGCGTCCGCCACCACCCTGCACAGCCCTTGCTCCCTGCCTGCGTTTCACCCACCCAGTACAGCGTTTCGTGGCCCCATAGGGAGCTCCACCGAAGGTCCCAGTGGCACCGCTCGCATGCGTCCGCCACCACGCAGCACAGCCCTTGCTGACCGCGTCTCACCCACCCAGTACAGCGCTCCGTGGCCCCATAGGGAGCTCCACCGAAGGTCCCAGTGGCACCGCCCGCATGCGTCCGCCACCACCCAGCACAATTGCGGCATTCACAACTGCATATGGTTGGGTCCTTCGCCAGGCTAATTTTTCAGGGCTGGACCTGTACGAGATGGACTACGACCAGTGTGAATCTGAAAGCGCAGGGAGCGCTTTCAAGTGCTATGTGTGCTTAGCTAATAACCCGAGACCCCTTTTCCTTAACCGTTTGGATTCAAGGGGAAGGGGGTCCGTCGACCCCCTTCCAGGAGTGCGGCTTGTCATGTACTGAAAAGGTGCTTGCTATATGTACCTCTCGTTCAGAGTATTTCAGATTGCTTCGGATATCTTGGCGACCTACGATGTCTTGGGAGCCATCCACACCTACATACCTACATCCACACATACATGCATGCATGCATGCATCCATCCATACCTACATCCATCCATCCATCCATCCATCCATCCCTACCTACCTACCTACCTACCTACCTACCTACCTACCTACCTACCGACCTACCCACCTACAAACATACATACATACATACATACATACATACATACATACATACATACATAAATACATACATACATACATACATACATACATACACACAACCATACATACATACATACATACATACATACATACATACATACATACATACATACATACATACATACATACATACATACATACACACACATACATACATACATACATACATACATACCTACCTACCTACCTACCTACCTACCTACCTACCTACCTACATACATACATACATACATACATACATACATACATAAACACAACAGCACATACATAACCATGCACACGTGCAAATACCTATACACGTACATATCCGCCACCGTGCATCTGGCACGAATTGGAGTGCCCCAAGGCTCATGCAACACTGAGAGGTAGAGGCTGCGCTTCTGCTGCTACAGCCAGAACTGTACGTCTTTAAGGGCCCGCACCAACCGTTTCCCAGCCTTCCTGGGGCGTCCCAAGGCTTCCCGGGCTGCCTCCCGTGAGTTCTGGGGTGTTTCCTGCAAATCCTCTGGACGCTGTGCCCGCCCACAACGGTCCAAGAGAGCCCCGACTTGCCCAAACATAGCTCAAACACGTTGTCAATAGCCTCGAGACGGCCCCAGACACCTCCAAGACGGCCCCAGAGGCCTCCAACAGCACCCCCACGAGGGCCCCAAGAGGCAAAAATCCAGGATTGTCCTTTGGTGTTTGAAGGATTTCAGCGTTCGCGCCCTTCGGCTTCCCGACGCTCCAAGACGGCCAGCGAGGCCCCAAATATCGCCCCAAGACGGCGCCAGAGGCCCCCAAAAGGGCCCAAAAACGGCCCAAGACGCGCCCAAGACGGCCCAGGAGGGTTCGAAAAAGGCCCCGACAGGGGGTCGAGATGGGGAACCCGAACGGACGGACATGTCGAGCCCTAGGCCCCGAGGGCACCCCAACCCAAGAGGCCCCCAAGAGGCCCCCGAGAGGCCCCCAAGAGGCTCCCAAGACGCCCACACGCTGCTCTCAAAAAGCCCCCCAAAGCGCTCCGAAGAGACGCGAAAAAGCATCCCTGAGAACTCTGATCCACAATCCAGGCACGGTGGCGGGATGGGCCGAAGGCCATTAGATCCGCCGCCCCCTGCTTGCAGGGGTGCACGGGGTGCTGGATGATTCAGGTTTTGGTTTTGGTTCTTTTTCTAAAAGAACTCCCCAGTGGGCTTCGGCCCGTCCCGCCGGCCACCCGCAAATTTCCCAAAATCCATCTGTCAATGCCCAAAAATGGCCGTTTCGCTCGGGACATCCTCAAAAAATCGCGAAGATGGCCCAAGATGGCCTCCAAGTCCGCCCGAGATGGCCCAAGACGGCCTCCAAAACGGCCCAAGAGAGTCCAAGACGGCCCAAGACGGCCCAAGAGGCCCCCCAGAGGCCTCCCAGACGGCCCAAGAGGCCTCCAAGAGGTCCTCCAGGAGAGTCCGAAGAGGCCAAAATCATTGATTTTCCATTGGTTTTTGAAGGATTTTGGCATTTGCGCCTTTTCGGCTCTCCGACGGCTCAAGACGGCCCAAGAAGCCCCCAAGATCGCCCAAGAGGCCCCCAAGAGAGCCCCATGATGGCCCAAGTGGCCTCCAAGATGGCCCCTAGAGGGCCCCAAGAGGGCCCAAGAGGCCTCCAACACGCCCAAGATGGCCTCCAAGACGCCCAAGATGGCCTCCAAGACGGCCCTGGAGCATTCCAAGCGGGCCCCAAGTCGGCCCATAGAGGCCCCCCAAACGGCTTCCGACGGCTTCAGACGTGCCAGGAACCCACCAAGATGGCCGAAGTTGGCTCGAAGCTGGCCCGAGACGGCCCAAAAAGCCCCAAAGATCGCCCAAAGCTTGCCCAAGAGGCCTCCAAGACGGCCAAGATGACCTTCAAGATGCCCACGTGTTCCCCGAAGGCTTTCCAAACCGATTCGGGGAACACGTGGTCCGATAGCTTGGCAGGTCTCGCCTCAACGTTCGGCCACATAGGCGCTTCCAAAAAGGCAGGGGGCGGCGGTGATTCGCCGTAGGCGTCTTCGATCCGCCGCCCCCTTCTGCTTCAGCAAAGGGGTGCCCGGCGTGCCAGACCCTATCGGTTTTGGTTTTGGTTCTTTTTCAAAAAAAAAACTCTCCCAATGGGTTTCGGCCCGTCCCGCCGGGGTCCCGGGATTTTTTCCACGGACCTCAATTTTCCGCACAAGACGGCTCCAAGATGGCTTCCAAGATGGCCAAGATGGCCTCCAAGATGGCCTCCAAGTCCGCCCAAGATGGTCCAAGGCGGCCTCCAAGACGGCCAAAGAGAGTCCAAGAGGGACCCAGACGGCCCAAGAGGCCCCCCAGAGGCCTCCCAGACGGCCCAAGAGGCCTCCAAGAGGTCCTCCAGGAGGGCCCGAAGAGGCCAAAATCATTGATGTTCCTAAGGTTTTTGAAGGATTTTGGAATGTGCTTCTTCTCGGCATTCCGACGGCTCAAGA